TATATATATGGAAAGACTGCCCCCCCCCCCCCCGGTATCGCCGGGGGGATAAACTGACATCTGGAGACTGATGTCGACTGTGGACCGGGTTGTTCACCCCTAACACAGTATAATACCTCCGATTTCGCGAACCAGTATAGAAATATGCCCCCAGGGCCCTTCGAAAGAGGAGGAGAATGAAGGGCCCAATCAAATTGATACTCTCGGTGACGACAATGCTAGCTCCCGGACTGAGATTCTTGCCCAACGTCCGGGCTGCCTCTGTACAAGTGGGAAAAGCTTCACGGGGTTGCATGGTCTGAGAACGCATGCCGGAAGGATGAAATGCGAGGGTGCTCCACGCAGTAAACGCCGTCGCAAAACTACTACTCCTGTGGTAGTTTCTGAGTCGTTAGAGAACGACGCGCAGGGTGAACCCCACTCGCCCGGAGAGGCCTATGACGTCGACTGCGGAGGCGCATGATTTGATTATTCCCGAGGAAGTGCGTTCCAGGATCAGGTTTCCACCTGCGAGCGATAAGGTGTCGTGGTGCAAGTTAGAGGCATTGAGGTGGCATTATGTGAGATATTAATTCATGATTTAAAAAAGAAGTCGTTAGGCGACAAGCTTACAAATTTGGTGATGTAATATATGAGCACTGTTCCCGTGAGTTCGGGACAGTGGAAAAGGCGCCGCCGAGCGTCAGACAGAATACTAGCAGGAGGCAGAGGGACATTCTGAAGTGTCGGGCAGACAAAAATTCCTCAGAAAACGGTTCAAAGCCGCTACAGGCAGCGAACGGGAGGGGCTGCATAAAGTCTGGTTGCATTTAAAGAACAGACACAGTGCCCTCTGTCGCGCTGTGCGTTTCTGTGCCAACAAAAGAAGAACCAAAAGGGAGCGAGAGAAATTCTTTAGGGACCCGTATCAGTTTGCCCGAGGTCTATTCGAGCAACCGAAGTCTGGGACTCTGGTTGTCAGTAAAGAGGAGCTTGAGTTACATTTACGGAAAATGTACTCTGACAGGAAAAGGAATGAGCCTCTCGATAACAATCCAGAGATCCTTAGCGGCCTCGTGCAGCCTGAGTTGCCGAAGGTACCATTTAGTGATACCTCCCCTTTGGTCTGAGGTTGAGGAAATTGTGAAACGAGCCAGCGGCAAGTCTGCTCCAGGTCCTAATGGTGTCCCGTACGTTCTTTACAAGCGTTGTCCGAAAATCCTACGAAAGCTTCACGGCTTGTTGAGACAAGCGTGGAGCCGAAAACACATATGTCCAGAGTGGCAACGGGCGAATGGGGTCTACATTCCCAAAGAGCAGGACTCGAAGAGTCTTTCCCAATTCAGGCCCATCTCGCTGTTGAATGTCGAGGGCAAAATATTCTTCTCGGTCATGGCTCGCCGGCTCACACAGTATCTGATGGCGAACAAGTACATCGATACGAATGTTCAAAATGGTGGTATCCCGGGCGTTCCTGGGTGCCTTGAACACCATGATTTGGGAGTCTATTCAGAGAGCCAAGCATGATAGAACCGAATTGCACGTTATATGGTTGGACATCGCCAACGCCTATGGGGCAGTTCTCCATAGACTACTGTGGCAGGCGTTTCGCATGTTGCACGTACCGACACAGATCCACGACATGATTGAGCAATATTTCTCTAACTTCGCTTTGCGCTTCTCTACCTAGAGTTACAAGTTGGGATAGCTATGGGCTGTACGATCTCACCAATACTGTTCGTCATGGCCATGCAGATCATGGCTACGGTTACAGACAGGACCTTCAAAAAGTGGATGCCTCCACTACGTGCCTTTATGGATGACACGACTATTATCACGGGCAGGAATCTGCCCGCACGATCCTGAAAAGTTTGGACGCGGTGGTCCAATGGAGAGGTATGCAGTTCAAACCGCAGAAGTCGAGGAGTCTGTCAATCCTTAAGGGTCGGGCGGCGGCAACTAGTTTTACGGTGGCAAGGAATAAGATCCCCACGGTTCTGGAGGACCCGGTGAAGAGCCTTGGTCGCTTTTACGGTTCGAAGTTATCTGATAGAGCGGAGGTCCGGCGAATACTCGCGTCACTGGCTACAGGCCTGCTCGCGATCGAGCGGAGCAGGCTGATCGGGAAGTTCAAGGTCTGGTGTCTCCAATTCATGTTGATTCCAAATCTCCTCTGGCCGCTGTTAGTCTAAGAAGTGACGATGACTGCAGTGGAGACGATGGAAAAAAAAATTTAAACACAGCCTTAAAAAAGTGGATTGGTGCATTGCCTTGTCTGACTGACGTGGCTCTGTATTGTAAGCAGGCTAAGCTAGTACTCCCGCATTGCCAAGAGTACTCACTTGGGGTGAGATCTGGCGAATGACCCCGCTGCGACTGAGCTTTATCGTTCGTTCTGCGTACGATGTATTACCGTCCGGTGTCAACATGGTGAAGTGGTCTGCGACTAACGATCCGACTTGCCCGCTGTGCAGAGCGAAGCAGACGTTAGAACATGTACTGTCCGCATGCAAAAAAGCCCTAGGTCAAGGCCGATATATCTGGCGACACAACAAGGTGCTTAAAGAGTTGGCAGCTGTTGTTGACCAGGCTAGGATGAGGGCCAACACGAGGGCTAGTCCTACCATCGTCCCCATAGTTTCCTCAAGGCTGGGCAGATTCACAAATTTAGAATCAACAAAGTCGCATACGCTCCATATATGCTAGACTCTGCGAGGGTCTGGTTACTGGCGATTGATCTGCCTGGCCATGAAAGGTACCCTGAGTCAATTCGAAAGACCGTCCTGCGACCTGACATAGTTCTCCACTCTGCTGAGAAACGGCAGCTCATCCTGATTGAGCTGACCTTCCCGTATGAGTCGCGAATGCACGAAAGCCATATGTATAAGCTCGAAAAATACAGTAACTTAGCAGCCGATCTGAGGAGAGACGAAGCGTACACAGTACGAGTCTTTGCCGTCGAAGTGGGAGCGAGAGTTCTCGTTTCCACTTCACTCTACAATGTGGTTAAAGAACTAGGATTGCGCGGTAATAACGCAAACGGACACCTAAACAGCTAGGCGAGGTTGCTGAGAGGGCCTCGAGCTGGCTATGGACACAACGAAACAACGTAGGGGACGGGCCTCGGTGAGCTGGCCTGGGTGTCTAGTGGAAAAGAATTTCTCATCTCTTGAATGTCCATCGTGTCCGAATTGTCTGCCAGTGTTCCTCTGCCACCAGCTTACAAAAGTCCAACATGTGTCTGGTATACCAATCGTAAGCTTGCCGCTCGGTCGTTCAGGTGTGCATACTGCTTTAATTATGCTACCGCGACGACTTCTTATCTCACAGTACCCTCTGCAAAATCAACAATTCGTCTTGTCCCTATCCGAACAACATCCGGTAATTCCGTGCAGCAGGGGGAAACCAACCCTGAGCCTCATGAACTCAGGTGGGCCCACTCTCTGAAAATGTCTAGGAGCTCATGGACCGAAACATTTGTCGACGAGAGGTTACTTCTACTGATGATTGGTAGACCCCTGCTGTACATGCTCCCCTGTGGAGTTCATTCTTAATGTGTGTATATGTCTATATATATAAGTGTATGTGTCTGTGTGCGTGTGTGTGTGTGTGTGTGTGCACGCTGAGTTTTATTGTTGTTGTTGTTGTGTTGTTGTTGTTGTTGTTCAGCCATCACAAGTGATGATAACCACTCTTTCTTGCTTCCTTTATAAAACTGCAGTAGATTGTCTGTGGTTCCGGAAGTGACCTATAAGCCCAATACCGGCCCGGGAGGATTGAGGGCAAAGAAAGCGGGCAACAGTGTCTATAGATACAGGCCCTGGAAAGCGTGATCAACTGGTTTAAAGTGATATCGATTTCATTATCTCGCCTGTGGCCTTCTGGATTTAGTGGCAGGATAAGTCTAGACCACTGTAGATGAAGTCAGGGGCAGTGGATGACCAGGGCGTTCTACGTGCTTCACCATGCTCTTTGACGTATCTAGGTTTGATAATAAACAAGAATGGAGACCGTTCAAGATAAGTGAAATGTTTGAAGGCGATAGAAATGCAAAGATTAAACAGCACTTAATGACTATGGTTAAGTATCAGCAATGAAATCAAATTTTTAGAGGTAGAATTTTCTCCGCCACGTTAGAAGCTCCTGGGCTTTCACGGCTCAGTTTGGAGGGAGAGTTGTAAAGGAAGATTCTGGAGCTTTTGCAGTAACTACAAGTAGTCTGACTATGGAGGTCATTGCTGTGACTAAAGCAGTGACTAGCTAGAGACACAGACTTTCATTTGGGCATGCTTTCTCAGTGCCTCGATGAGTATGCTCAGGAAGATAGAGAAGGGCTGGGTCCGAAGGCAGTGGTCGGTGTCTTTACAGAATTTACGGCTGACAAGGATTAGTTTTAGTTTCGTTCCAGGACATGTGGGGGTACAATGGCAATGAACAAGCTGATAGGCCTGCAGGTAAGGCTACTGTGAAAGCTGGACAAGCCAGGGACCAGGCTGATATACTGAATGCTCTAAGAGAGTTAAGACGTTTACATGAACAAACCGAGAACTGTGAATCTTCAACCATGGTCAGACTGCAAGAATAACACGTTAAACGGGTTTCCGTTAAATAAGAACACAACGCGGGTAGTCAAAGAAGAAGAATAAACCAACACATAACTTTAGTCGTTATCCGCTTCACGCTGCGGGATTCACTGAGGAGGGGATCCGAGCACTTATGGACTGAGTGGTTCGACGTGCAATAAGGATATTCTGTCGACTAACTAACTAACTAACTAACATTTTTTTTTTAATGAAACAAAAACACACATTACAATTAAACAGCCACTTTAATCATTATAATAGACATCATTGCTTTCAACATTCAATTGCATCAATTTGTATAAATCGTGTTAATAACCAACACATCATTAAAGATTAAATCTTCATTCAGTATGAATTTCAGTTCAAGAGTGTTTTTAGATAAATCTGTGCCTTTTCTGTTCTACGGTCACTTTTATTATTTCTAGGCACGCGGTGGCCTTATGCATCACCATCGGCTAGAATTGTCAGCCTGATCCATGTTCGATAATAAGAAACTTTAACATACAGGTCTGGGAGAATGGTTTTTCGACATTTACTTTGAACCAAACTAGCAATTCCCGCTACATAAAAGCTATCGCCCACACGGCAGGAAAGCGGACCCCCTGAATCCCCATAGCAAGCTCCAGCGTCTGGGTCGGCCCTATCTAGGTCTGTGCACATCTGACCATAATTAATGAGTGTTCTAGCTATCATCCATCGCGTGAAACATTCTGAATGGCGCATCAGTCGAACCTTAACTTCTTGCAGCAGCTTGGCTGTCTTTGAATCCTGTTGTTTTAATCCCCACCCAGTTACGTAACACTCGCTGGACTTGCTAAAATCTATTATTTTCCTCGGAATGCAGATGGGTCTGATGTAGTTATTGTAACTTACCGGAAGGGCTAATCTAATTAAAGCGATATCGTGGTGTACACCGTTAAACTCGTGGTGGATAATTTCCCTATCTGCCCTGCGAACAACGGCGGTAGAGGAATAATTGACAATGTTTGTTGTTCCTAGTAACACATACACCGTGGCATTTATGCAATGCGCGGCTGTCAGAACCCAGCGGGGTCCAATAAGAGCTCCTCCGCAAAAGTTTTTCCTGCCTCTGATGAAAACCTGCCAGGGGTAAAACTTTTCTGGGGCAGCTTGCCCGTGGATGATGCTATGAAAGTTGCCGTCCACGCCCCTGCGTCCACAAAGCGTGCAGTTAGATCTTGGGATGCGGTATGTCATTGATGGTGTTGGCTGGCCCCATTTTTGCAGACTCTTCTTGTATTCGTTTCTGTACTTCTCAAGTGGCAACTGGGGCAGAGGGACTGACCTCTTCGCGGAGTGGGATTTCTTGGATGACTGTAAGCAGCATTGAAGTGGCCGGGTAAAAATTAGTACCTGTCGATACAAATTACAAGATTGATGGGAAAAGAAAGGAGTGGCTGGTCGAGCGATGAGAACGATAGGCTCTCCGGTGGGAGAACTAACTTCCTAGAGGACAAAATAACAATCATAATCTGCACAGTCCGTGGCGCCAGCTGTAGCCAGGCGACGAAAAATTCTCAGGCGCAAAGATCCCTACACCGCAGGTGTGGTAAAAACATTCAGTAATTATAGTTTCCTTGGCAGGTGGGAGAAGAGTAAGTTAAAGGGGGCTGCGTCATCTCAAGGCATGGTGTCCGCCTCCAGTGCAAGAGGTTCCGGGTTCAATTCCTGGTAAAGGCTGGGATTTTCTCATGTGGACTTGAACTTCTAGTAATTCCCCCAAGTCTCTGGGTAGTGAGAACAGACCCCCGTGTGTATTGTTGCGCACGTAACAAAATCTTTGGGCAGTTGGAAAACAAAAAGAGTTGCTTAACGGCGCCATCCGGGCAAAATTTGGAGTTAAAAATCTACCCAAAGTATCTTTTCCGTTGATACAGAGCCTGTGCACTGTGCTGAACTTCTTCCGACTCAGACTTCAGTTAGAAGAAGGAC